TGTGTGTGTGTGTGTGTGTATTTGTGAGTGGCATGCATGAAGTTGTATATACTCCTTGTTCATGTGTCATTGAAAGTTATACACCGGTTGTGTTTCTGTTGCCATCCGGCCCCGTGCCGGCTTCCCCCTCCAGCAGGCGATGGGTGTGGGTGGGGGTCGTGGTGCGTTTCCTGCTGGCGTTGCCGTCCCTCCCATGAGACAAGGTGTGGCGAGGGGCGCCGTGCACACACACGCACATGCAGTTGCACATACGGGCACAGAAAACGGGAAGCAAAACAAAAAAATCAAAAAACGGATTTCTTTTTCATTGACCTACAGCTCAGGAAGAATTGAGTTGATACGCTTGAATAGGGCGGCGTGCTATTTGTTGTTGTGGTTTGTTGTTTCTCGGTTGTGCCAGCCCAGTTGGGTCGTATCTGTCTCGCTGCGTTCTCCTGTTGCTCTTCTCTGGAAGCGTTACCGGCTTGTGTAGGGCGATGCGCAGAGCGGCGCCGGTGACGCTGCGTCGCGTCGCGTTGTGTCTCGCTGCGCGCTCCACGTCGCGGGGCGGAGCTGCAGCAGCAGCAGCAGCGGCAGATTCGGCGTCGTTGTCGTCGCCACATCCTCCCAGCGACGCAGCGTCGTCTTTGTCCTATGTGTTCGAATGCATTGAGAGTAAAAACTACGATGCGGTGGCGCGTTTCTATGACACTGCGTTTGACGCCGAAAGCACGTCGTTGTCTGAGTTCGCGGGTGGCGCGTGCCGGGCGCGTGATATGGCGCTTGCTCTCATGCGTGTCTTCACGGCGCTTGGCCGCATGGACCGCGTGCGTGAAGTCTTCGCTGTGGGTCTGCGGGACCTTGCGCCAGTGTCGGCACTACCATCATCATCATCAACAGCAGCTGCAGCAACGCCAGCAGTAAAGGCAGAGCGGGTTGACGGTGAAGGACGAGGCAAATGCATTTCTAGTGTTTCTCTTCTTAACGCAAGTTTGTTCAATGCCTACCTGGAGGTGCTCACGCAGCGGAAGAACTTTGCGAGCGAGGAGGTGCTGTTTGTGCTGCGGGAGATGCGGATGGCGGGTGTCGTGCCCGATGCACTGACGTATCACTTCCTTATCGAGCTGCATATTCGCATGGGCGTGGACCCCGTCGGACTGTGGGGCGACATGCGCCGCAATCCGGCGCTGCAGCCTCTGCCCTGCACGATCCATGCTCTCCTGCTGCAGGTCGTGCCGTCATCACCTGATGCGGCGTTTGTGGTGGATGTCACGCGCGAGGCGCTCCGCCACGGGAACAGCGTGGTGGACAAACGGTTGCTCTCACAGCTAATGGAGCAATGGCTTCGTAACACGCAAGACTACCCACCAGAGTACGTCCTATGGCTTATGTTTGAGCTGGAGCTGCGCTGCGTCCTGGACAAGGCCTCATTTGTGCAGTTTGTTCAGAAGCAGCACGTGGCGGAGCTCCTGCAACGCTGTGCAAAATGCGCAGACGCCGATACGGGCGCGAAGGTTCTGGCGATGATGGACCGGCACGTCATAACGAAGACGGCGGATGTTCTCAGCCTCGTCGTGTGGTGCTTGGCGCAGGCGTTGCAGCTGGAAAAGGCGTTTGATCTGCTGGAGCTGATGGCGAGAAAAGGTCACCTGGAGCTGACGGACGCATTCAAGAAGTACACTGTGGACTGTCTACGCCAGGTGATGGACCGACACTTCATGATGGCGCTGGCCGACGCGATCAGCACCACCGATCTGCTTGACCGCACGCTGCTGCACCTGCGTAGCCGTCGCCGTCGCAGGCAAACGGTGTCGGTGCATGCGCTTGACATTGTTGTGCTCGCGGCGGCGAAGCTGGGCGAGGACCGGCGTGCCATGATGCTCGTATCCAGCTACATTGCGGAGTGGGGCATCGAGCCGCGCACCAACACATACAACTGCCTGCTGGTGGGCCTCGCGGCGCGGCGCGGGGTGGCGCTGCAGCGAGCGGTGTATGATGCCATGCTGGAGAACGGCGTGGCGCCCAACGCCTTCACGTTCCGCGTGCTCATTCGACAGGCGGTGCTCGCCGACAGCATCGACGAGGCCATGGAGTTCCTGCAGAAAGTCACCACATATGCGGGGCTGCGGCTTGAGGTGGAGATGGTGCTGCCCATCATTGAACGCGCCGCACGTGCCGGCGACGCGGACACCGTGAACCGCGTGAGTAAATTCGCGCTTGACTGTGACCTCGGCATTGACGGGGCAGTGCTGAGCAGCGTGATCAAACTGCTGGCGGAGGCGGGGCAGGACGTGGAGGTGATTAAGGGGCACCAGCCGCTTCACGAGGCGCTGCGGTCGCGCTCTAAGACGGGCCGGCAGCGGGCGCGAAATAACATTATTGCGTGACGCACGATCAGCGCGGGAGCGGTGAAGGAGGGGAGCGAGATTGATGGATGTTGTTTCATTGTCTGTCAAGGATGGGTGCGTACAATAGGAGTTGGAGTGAGCGTTTTTTTTTTTGTTGTTGTAAGTTGTCTGCATAAATAACAGGAATTCTTACGTGTCACTCTGTCGTTATTCNTTTTTTTTTTTGTTGTTGTAAGTTGTCTGCATAAATAACAGGAATTCTTACGTGTCACTCTGTCGTTATTCCTTTTTTCTTTCCTTTCCTTTTTTTTTTTTTATTGTTTCCCTTTGTTTAATTTCATGGGTACCTGCTATGGCTGTTAGGTAGTGTCTTTAGCGTGTGGTGGCTACTCGCTTCGTTGGGTCATTCGCTTGCGCGTCCCTTCACGGGCGCGCGGCAGGCAGACACACACAAAAAGAAACAACTCTCACGTTTCGCTTTAGCGGCGTGGAGGAGGGTACCAACGTGTACATACCCAAGTTGGATCTCCTTTGTAGTCTATATATATATATATATATATAGGGAACTATACAGGCATACAGAAAACCATTGCTATCAGGCTGCAAATCACGAAAGATGCGGGCGAACGATATCGTCAAGGGTCGATATTCCACCTACCAGCTGCAGGACCTCATAGGTAAGGGTGGCAACTCGGTGGTGTACAGTGCCATCGACCGCAGCACAGGTCTTGTCGTCGCTGTGAAGAAGATGATGGCACGTGATGACACAGTGATGGCCACGTGGCGTAAGGAAGTTGCCATCATTAGCTCCCTTGAGCATTCCTGCATCATCCGCTACATCGACCACGCACGTTCCGGCAAGGCGTTCCTAATCGTCACCGAGTACGCGCCCGGTGGCTCCTTGCTACAGCAGCTCAAGCGAAATGGCCGGTACGGGGAGCGGGATGCGGCGCGTTTCATGTTTCAAATTACCTCCGGCCTCGCGTATATTCATGAAAAAAAATTCCTTCACCGCGATCTAAAATGTGCCAACGTGCTGCTTGGGGTTGGCGATGTTGTGAAGCTCTCGGACTTCGGCCTGGCGATGCCGCACAGCATTGTGCAGAGTGACACAAACTGCAGCGGCGCTGGTGGTGGTAATAATGAGCGCGAGGACGAGCTGGAGCCTACGGCTGCGGTAGCGGGCGAAGAGGGCATGGTGGGCTCCGTGTACTGGATGGCACCGGAGACGATACGCGGTGCGCTGCAGAACGAGAGCAGCGACATCTGGTCGCTCGGCTGTCTCTGCATCGAGCTGCTGACCGGCAACCCGCCCTTCTTCGACCGCGCGCCGGCCAACGCCCTGTACCACATTGCGGAGTCTGACGAGGTGCCAATACCATCAATGGATCTCTCGGAAGGATGCAGAAGTTTTCTTGCGCAGAGTCTCGACCGTGACCCAACGAAGCGGCCGTCTGCCGCGGCGCTCCTGCGCCACGAGTGGTTCGACGGCTTCGTCGCGGAGAACATCCTTGAGACGCTGGCCAACACGCAGGCGGCTGACATCAGCGCGGAGCAGGCGGCGAGTAACTCGGCGGCGATCGGGCGCTGGGTGGAAAGTAACCTCTTCCCCGAGAAGGCGGAGCAGCGCGAGCAGTGGCTCCGCGGCGGCTGTCTAAAGAAGGTGGTCGCCGTGCTCCCCAAAGTGACTGCAGAGACATCATTCCACATCATTCGCACCTTCGCCTTCGCGGCGCAGCGGTGCCGCACGGAGCCGAGCTGTTTCCTTACTCAACTCGGCGAGACGGAGCTCTGGGCCAACGCGCAGCTCAGTGTGCTTGGCAAGGCGGAGTCCCTCGGCTCGCTCTTCGTCTGCTGCTGCGAGAGACAGGACCCGCGAGTGCCGCAGTACGCCCCAACACACCCTGGCGCTCTGCGGTTCCTGTTGCAGTGCCCAGAAGGCGACGTTGCCGTGATGTGCATCATTGCACTGCGCAACCTGCTTGTCGGTGGGGAGGAGGACGAGGCGGGGAGTGAAAAAGTAGTCCCTCAGGAGATACTCACTTTGGATGCCGGTAAAATTACCTTTCGCCGCTTTTTCTCGCAGAATCGATTTGTTAGTGACCACGCCGTGTATGCGGTGCAGCGCATCATTGAAGATGTTTGCTGTGCTGCCTTCCATGAAGACAAGGAACCGGCGATTGGCTGGTCCAATGTAGACAAGCTGTTTGAGGTGCTCGTGCAGGTATTAAAGAAGACTGGAGACGAGTCGATCATTGTCGGCCCCTCCATGGCCACTGCGCAAAACGCTGACGGTTCGGAGGCTCAAAACGGTGCAGTTGGTGTTGCGCCCAACACAGGGGATGGTGGTGGTAGTAGTAGTAGTGGTGGTGGTGGTGTTGCTGCTGGGTCCGTTGCCGCTGGTGCCAGTGGAAGTGGAAGTGGTGGTGGTGGTGGTGCATCCACCATTACGGAAAGCGCTTCGCGTGGCAACGGCGAAAATAGCAGCCGATCAAGCCTTGCCCGAGTTGGCGGCGGCGGCGGTAATGGGGCTGGTGGTGGTAGTGGCGGTGGGGCTGGTGCCGCCACCAGCACCAGTGGGGAGAAACAGGCTGAGAAGAAGTGGTTACTGGCACTGCAAGAGGCGAGCCGCCACCTTTGCCCCAATGCGATCCTGCTGCTCCTCCAGTACGTCCACCACGCGACGCGGAATGAGCTTAAGTGCATCAACGTCTGTGGAAAGAGCATCGCCGGGACATTTCTTGTCGTTGCGGCGAATGCGTCTATTGATGTCGCTACGCGCATTGCGCTGCTGAAGTGCCTCCCATTGCTGCAGTGCGCGTCACAGAAGGCAGCGGCCTTCATCCGTGACACACGCTGCAGCGTGCCGCTGCTAGCGCATACCGCGAAGAACATCCCTGCCCCGGAGGAGTCACGCGAGGACGAGGTGCTGAAGGTCCTTTTTAGCCTCTGCGAGGACGAACGCATGGCTGCCGCGTACGCCACGTCGGAGACATTCCTCGGTATCGCTGTTGACCGTGCTGGCCTCGCAATAGAGCGGCACCGCTGGACGGAGGTGATGCTGGCGATCCGCTTCATCGAGATCCTCCTCGCCCACTCCGTCGACCCATCGCAGGTGGTGGGGTCGCGCGGCCTGCTGGGCTTTCTGCTGCGGCTCTCCGACAGTGAGGCGTTCCCCGGTGGTGTCGCCACCGCGGCGCAGCGGTTGCTCAACAGCCTTCAGGCGCAGACGAATGTGCTGTAGATGCGGAGAGCGCAGTCAAAGAGGCATCAGAGTCTCTTGTTTTGCGGTTGCGGCTACTGTTGTAATTGGTGGTGGCGGTGGTGTGGTCATTCACTTCTATCTGTGCTCTAGCTGTGTTCGTGGCCGCCACTCGCCAGAAGTGGCATACACGGAAGATGACGACGAGAGTGGTGGCAATGAAGAGACAATCACCACACCGGGCAACAGGCAACAACGCCAACAACAAGAACGAAAAAAAAAGAATGACGTGAGGAGGGAAAACCAATGCGAAACAGTGTTATTGCGACGAGAGTCATGTGGGTGTTTTTCTCTCTTCATGATTCTTTCTTTATTTACTGAGTTTCTGTCTGTCTTTGCTTCCCGTGCTAGTGCTGTGTCGTTATCGCTGGCAACGCCACACGTGGATGCGGCGCTGCTGTTGGTGTTGTTGCGCTCGCGTGTGTGTGTGTGTGTGTGTGTGCGTTTTGGGGTGGGCAGCGAGTGGCGACGAGGCGACGGCCCGAGAGGCGACACACACACACACAGAGACCGAGGCGGACCGGAGGAACATGGAATGAAATGAGACAGGAGAAAAGTGCGAGACGATGGTCCTTGCCTCACTGGATTGTCTCTGTGGGTGCTTTGCTGTTCCCCCATCCCTCTTCTTCTTCTTCTGCCCTTCCCCGCTTTTTTTTTTTTGTTCGCGGCTGCAGCTGCACTCAGATGCTGCGCCTCACACACACACAGTCCTGCGCGGTGGTGGCGCCGTTGTTGCTGCGCCGTGCGGTGGCGCTGCGCTGTGGTCTGCTGCGCCTGCGCTGCGACAGCGACACGAACATGTGCGTCCTCGCGGACGGCAGCGCGGAGGGCCTCCCGCGCGGCACACGACTGGAGATGTACGGCACAACCACACGCCTTGTCAGGCAGCGCGCAGGTGGTGGCGACAGCAGCAGCAGCAGCAGCAGCAACCGCAGTGACAGTAGTCCCAGTCTCACGCTGGACGAATTACAGACCATTGGTGCGGCCGTTGAGTGTGCATTCACGTCGCTGCCGGAGGATGCTCGTGGGGAGAGGAGGGCGCTGTCGCTGCTGCAATTGCCGTCCAACCGTGCCGGCAGCGACGCGGTGCTCGCTGAGTGGTCCCTCGCCCCCCAACTGGAGAGTGAACAACGTCAGCAGCAGGGAGAAGCACAGCGGGTACAGGTGCCCCTTATGGAGAATGGTGTTGTGTTTCCATCGCCACGCGCAGCCGGTCTTCGTCGGTTGCGTGCGGCACGACAGGCGTTTGCCCTACTGCTGACCAGCGAGATACAAAAACGACAGCAAGAGACAGGCAGCACCATTGAGCCTCTCTCCATTCTCGATGTGAGCGAGGTGGACTGCACCTTCAGCCGCGTGGCGATACACGTGGCGGTGGAGCACGGCCTCGAGCCGGAGCAGCAGTTCCACGTCAGTTACGTCCCGCTCAGCGACGCCGCAGCAGAGGCGGTGGACGCGGGCATTGCGAGCCTCCTGCGCCTCGTCGCGCACCCACACCGCGTCGCACAGCCGGATCCACTGCGCGCCCTGCCGGCCCGTTGCTTCACCGTCGGCTGCCACACCGCGTGCAGACGCAAAGGTGGCGGGCGGGAGGCGGAGGAGCCGAAGGGCCTCCAACTGGCGCGCGTCGTGTCGAAGATGCATCGGGGCGGCATGCTCATTGTTAACGTGCTTGGTGAAGAGCAGCAGCAGGAGCAGGTGGATGCAGGCCAGGCTAGTGAGCAAGGTGACGCGGGGAGGCAGTTACTTCCGCTGCTGCTGCAAGAAGCAAAGGCGCTCGTCACGGAGGCCCTCTCGCGCTGT